GTTTCTCTATTGCAGAGGTTAGATAAAGTTCATAGCTAGTTAGGTTGATGTGGAAGATTAAAGATGAAAATGAGTTGAATAAACATTGGTGTGTTTATTTGCTACTATTAAAGTTGGCTACCTGTGGTCCATTTTTAAGAATACAGGACATTTGACATGAGATTTATTGAGAGGTGAAGACAGCTCATCACTGCCATTGTGATAAAATGAGTTAGATTAGATTGATATTTTATTTGACAGATCAACAGTAATAAAGTGATGCTCTTGTGTGACACATTTCTCATGTGCGTAACATGTTTCAACACATGGTTATACATTTCAAGCTTACCAAACTTTATATGATCCGTACGCTCCGCAGGTTATGTTACATGCAGAAAAACAAAGAGCTGATGATTGTGAAAGGAAATATGTGGAAGCCCAAGAATCTAGAGAGGAGTTACGCAAAAAGTTAGAAGAAACAGAAAAGAGAGTATATCAGCTTCAAGACTCATTGAACAGGTAGAATTAGAATTATTACCTTGAGGGTTTGTGTAGTTTTTCAGAATTATCTACAAATATTTGGAATAGACTGCTGATTATTTGACATAAATTTGACTCCATACTGGCACTAAGCCAATAATAAATGTTTAAATCTCTAAAATAATGCCCAATGAAACCTAAATATATAACTATGCTCAAGTATTCATTTTTGCTGATATTAGTGAAATAGTACAAAACTACTGAGAAAAAGCATTCTGCTGCTCTGTGATTTTTCTTCTATTTCCTGGATTTATGAATATCACTACAATTCTACGACTCTTAAAATTGGATAATATTTGATTAATACTAGATCTGATCTAGTGTGTCTCAGGATGATATCTTCCATGTCAAGCCAAGTTGCGGAACTGAAATTGATATTAAGTACTTCATCAAGATTAAGTTCAACTTTTCGGCCTATTGCTAGAGTTGATGTTGCTTCCAGCAACTCTGATACTTCTTCGACAGATTCTGATTTCGCAGTTTCGGCTCCTGCTCCAAATACAACCAATCAGTCTAACTCTCAGCCTAGTTCTAGTCAGCTAGTTGTTCAGGGTGTCACTGTAGCGGATGGTTCAGGTTAGTCCAGTTTTGTTGTAAACGGCATTGTCCTAGCTATTTTTCCATTTGTTTTGCTTGCTGAATCCAGAAAACCATGCATGTATGAAAATCCGGTCTTTTATTCCTGATATTCTTATTATGCATTGTAAATAAATATTCACAGCCTGTTTGATATGAAGAATAGAATGCAAGGTGAAATCCTCCCCCTGGGGGGCGGGGGGACAACTCATTTAAATCTTAAAAAAAAAAAAAAAAAAAACATATATGATCATAGCATCAAGGCTCGCAACGCTGCAATCATATTAAGCACTTTCCGCCCTACAAAAGCATGGCTTATGTCTGGGGTTAATTGTTACTATATGTCGTTGTGTTATTTACAAGAGGAGGAATATAAGTTGTGTTTGACCCTACCATTTGTTTTCCTTATTGTTGCACTTGCAGGATCTGAAGGTGAAAAGGAGGGGTCATTTGATGATTTCTTCTAGTGTCTCTCCTTTCTGCCTTAATTTTCTTTCTTCTCATCTTAATTGATGAAAACAAGAGGAAGTGGGGACTTGACATTTTTGTTAGGCATGTCCACTCGTTTTCTCAGATGCACTAATACAAATTTGTAGGCACGGAGATCATTGAGGATCCTGTAAATCAGTCAGCTAAAGCTAGTAAGATACAATCTATAGAAAACTTGTGTTTTTTGAAACTTTGTAGGTATCCCTGCTGAGCTCATTCTTATTTCGCAATGTCAAATGGATGATAGAGTGAAAATATTGTATCCCTGTTTTCTTGGTTTTTTTGGGGGTCGTCATTGTTAGTAAGCTGTAATTCAATCTGGTTGGCGGTTCATTACCTTTAAATAGAATTTGCTCGTAGTGACCGTAGGATCAGGATCCTTCCAACACTGAGAGGGGCTACCGGAGTGCTGGGTAGGTGAGGCCCACTATACTCGCGGTCTGGACGCTTCCTCGTTTCGAAGAAAATCCTGTTTCATATCCTAAAATTTGAATCGGTTTTCACAGTTGTCTAAAACATTCATTTGTTTTTCCACATTTTGTCTTTAACCTTTCTCTTAACCTTTTCAATTCTCTCTTCATATTGTTTTCATACTACATTCTCTTTTATCGATTATCTTATTATTACTGTTTTTTTCTCATTTATTTCTTTATTAAATAAGGCGTACCTGGAATTGGAAAAGGAAGTTTAATTTTTGTTTTTAACTAATTTTAATAATTTTTTAAAATCTTGCATAATTCAATTAAAAAGATGGGAGACGCGTAGACGTTTTATCCAGTGCTGTGTATTGCTCTTGGCTTCGTGACTGATAAAATTTGTCAAGCTACGTATTGACATTACGTTTGTTATTATGTGCTATGCAGCCTGAGGATCAGAGAGATGTCTTGGACTTGGAATGGTGACAACTTACATCAATCAATCGCTGGCTGGGGTCATTACTTATAGGGAGTGTAATCCTTCAAACGACTTGTTTCTCTATAGGTGGGGAATTTAACTTTAATTTTGATATAATCTAATCATAAACGCACAGTCGACTCCAAACTTCCAATTGGGTTGAAGTGGTAATTTTGTAAATAAAATGAAATCCAGTTCCGTCTTCTAAGAAACCCTTTCATGCTGTGCGTGTGCATACAATGCGTTTGTGGAAGGAATTTTTAGAGTAATCATCATCATCATCATCATCATACTAAAATTCAATTCTTGAATCCAAGGCGATGTAGAATTGGATGTACTCAAAATGTGTTCCTGTCTTTCTAAATTTTGATTTTCACCGGGCACAATATGATTATAATGAAGTTTTAAATAGTCCAAATGTATTAGTTTCAAGTAATTGTTGACCGGCTCTTATCATATGATTTTTAAAATAAATAGCATTTTTCATGAAATATATATAATGTGATTTCTTATAAATAAAAATGCATATAAGCCATATTAACATTAGCATTTTTAAATAATTGCACATTTACAAGTGTTAGTTGGGATTTATGGCCGATTAATTAAAAGGTTAAGGTCTACTCAAGCATTTTGAAATATTTTGTGGTGCATCTAATACTATGAAGTATTTTTTTTGCCTTGGTGTTGGATGTGTAAAAAAAATATTTTTGAATACTAGACATACCTAAAGACAATACTTTATGGTGCTGAATATATAAAAAATACTTTAAAGTACTGGATGTGTTTAAAAAGCACCACAAAATATTAGCACTAAGATGCACCTTGACCCTTAATTAAATACAAGTGACTGATTAGCTCTTAATCAGATCTGATAATATTTCAATTTAACTAATGATGGTAGATATCAGGTGGTTATGTCATAAATAATTATACCCATCAACTAATTTGCCTCGTCTTTTTCCTTTCACTGTACATAAAATTTTCAAACGTCTAGTGGATGAAATTTTGACTGAGCGCACCTACAGGCTAATAATATATTTGGAAACTATTTAATTTATTTACTTATTTAAGCATGTCACATTATTTATCACTTGTGAATATTATAATTTATTATTTTACATTGATAACCAACACTTTTAAAAAGGAAATTTGATTGTGTCAAGGACAAATATTTGTATATTTTATAAATGTATAAGAAATTGCATCGTTGACATGAAGCGAGCCCGATGCAAACCTGTACCGTGTGGTATGCATATGTATAGTTTTTACATTTGTCATGCAATAATCACCAAATGCGTATGTGGAGCTTCGTATTTCAATGTTGTGAAAAGATTTATGTTGAACTAATTAAATTATTTTTTTTGGGTCAATTCTTAAAACTTGATACTTTTTCTTCAATTTGAAAATCATATAATAAATTATTTGTTGTAATACTGTGAGAGACGATGATGCAAGAAAATGGTGGAAGCTAAGTGCATGAGATTTAGTCCGTTGTTGGAATAAATAAATTGTCGAGTTAACTTACGGGTAATGATCTGATATAATAAATAAGTTTTATCCCCGAGGGAATACAAAAATTCAAAATAAATTATGACAAGTTAACAATAGCTTCATTATACTGTAATAAATAATATTTCAATGTTGTCTCGACCACCCTTCGTTGCGGCATCTAAAAATTTTGTAGCTATGTACACACGTAGAAGTATGAAATTAAATCTCAAAGGGCTGATTGGATGACGTTTCAATTTTTCGTTGCATCGATATAATATGTCGTACGCGATCAAAGCACTGGTAGGTTACTGGCTAATTGCAAAGGGCTGAAATATCAAAATTTTATAACTGAAGCAATGACTGAAGCCATACTCATGATTAATCACTGAAATCCCCTCACTTATCGTTGGTTGAGACTTCATTAGAACGAACCATGAATTAATTAACATTAGATAGAACAAATTTTGGAATTCAAAGGTGGGTGTTGTATGACTCCTATCATATGATGCGAATCTAAGAATTTCTTCTATACTTAACGGTATACGGTACTAGCTGCCATAGAAACCATTTTCAGCAAATGTGTGCGGATTATATTCATGGGACAAATCATCCCCATACGATAATCAAATCCGTTTTAATTTTACACTTAGAAGTAAAAAAATTCCGTCAAAAGCGACTTGAGTGAAAGAAGTAGTATAGCTATAAGTATTATGTGTGGAAGGGATTTCCAGGATCAGGCAAAAAGGAAATCCACTATCACTCAGTTTCTCCATTATATTTGCTAACCTATATCCAAACAGAGTCGCTGCAGATTCAGTGGCAGGTGAAGTACGCTTCCTAAGATCTTCACTTTTCTGCCTCAGAAAATATGAACCCCAGATTCAATGCGAAACAATTCTAAGCTTAACCTCCTTTTCTCTTGTTCTCCCTACCTCCCTCCTCAACTTACAACTCTGATCATCGGAATCGTACGTTTTTCTGTAAGGAGATCCGTATGTTCAGTTCCATTATCCTTTTTCTTCTTTAATGAGATGCATATAAAGGTTCACTCCCCCTTTTATATTCTCTGCACAGGTAAAAGCTTGATGGAAGGAAACTGTGTGAGAAGAGATCACAAGCATGGAGAGGAAAACCTGAGCCTTGAGGAGCATTCATGGGCAAGCTCATGGCCGGCAAGAAATTACGCGTGTAGCTTCTGCAAGAGAGAGTTCAGGTCAGCTCAAGCTTTAGGTGGCCATATGAACGTGCACAGGAGAGATAGGGCTAGACTGAGATCAGGCATAATACCACCCTTATGGCTTAACTCTGAATCTCTTAAACCTGGCCCTATAACCTCAAGGCCACCTTCTAACCCAACTTCCTTACCTGCTTATGACCTTTTGGATAACGGTTACTCACACCATGCCCCTTCTCTCACTTTGTCTTCTTCGTCCTCCTTTGCTTCTGCGAGTGATGATAAGAAGCCACCAATGCTCGTCACGTCTCCTTCCAAGCTCCCTCTTCTCGGCTCTCAAAGCAGAGAAATGATCGTGAATGGTGACAGCACGAAGAGTGGATTTAGATCAATTAACGACAAAGTGAAGGGCTGTGCAAAGGAGAAAGGGCTTAAAGGTTTCGACAGCATTGAGGAGGATGGCAATACTAATATCACGTTGGAGCTGGGTTTAGGGTTGCTTCAACACCCAAGTGAGCAAATAGATTTGGAGCTTCGACTCGGCCATTTCTAGCTAGCTAGGTATTGTGGGATTCAAACAAGAAAAGGGCGAGCAATGCGCTCCGAAACTATTTAGCTTCTTGCACCACTTTAGTAATTATATTCAAGCCAGCTACTTTATGTTATTATATTATATATGAGCATTCCAAGAACTTTAGTTCAGATGGCAAGCTCTTCTAAGCTGTTGGGGATGAGATTAGAATATGCATCACTGTTTTTGTTCTTCGATTCTAGCCATTAGATATTGTAGATCCAAGGAGCGTAGAAAAACCAATTGACCCGGCTTGATGTTGAGGTTATCATACAAAAATTAAAGCCATAAAGTACAAAGAAGAAGAAGAAGAAGAAAATTATGGGTTTCAACTTCATAATGTTCTTCTTGTTGTCTCCATTGGCTGTAGAATATATAATTTTATGTTGGTCTGCGCCTTAAGCGTTTGCCAGCTAGTGATCGTAGAGTTCATGTTTAATTAATTTGACTAAAATATATGAGCGCTGAATACTATTTGTTACATATGTTCATTCTCTCTCACCCTCTCTTTCTCTCTCTCTCTTCGGTCTCCATTCAAACTTCGTATTTCAGATGAACGATCCTCATTATATCAGTCCATTTCTTGCAGACGCACCCTTCTTAGTTTTCTGAGGTTAGCCTCTGTGCCATGCTTTTTTCTTGGAAACATACAACCACGTTGATTCAGAAACACTGAATGCGATCAAATCATTTACATATATAAAACCGGATGCGCAGGAAAATCATAACTTCGTCCTTAGAGCGGAATTTACGACCAGAGTGCTTATATATATACTCCTCCGGTCCTAAATGTAAGACTCTTATACACACTAGTATAAGGGTCTTACATAGGACCGGAGGAGTATATATATATATTAGACGCTCCAGTTTATACTCTGGTAACCCGCCACTTTTTAACTTTAGTTCCCACGTCAATACATGAAAATCCACCTTCGCTTCTTAATATAAAATTTCATTGACTTTTATTTTGGTCTTAAATATAAAACTCCAATATACTTTGTCTCTCATATTTATTTCTCTTTTTTCAAGATAATATTTTTAATAATAGTAATTCTAATTAATAAATTTGATTAGCAATGATATTTTAGGAAAGATAATACATATTTATTATAAATAACTAGCTTAGTTTATTTTCTTAATCTACTCAAATCAATCAACTAGCTCTTATATTTAGGATCGAAGTTAGTAATTTGGAAGGCAGAAGTCAGTATGTATGTGGATCTACATCCACGAGCATGTGTGGGCATTTAAATGAATAGAGCTCAATATTAAAGCGTGTAAATCAGAATGGATTAAAAAATAAAATTTGCCATCGGCCAAGCATATCGTTTTCAATTCTTTGTTATATTCTCTGTCGGTGCGCATGGTTCGTTGCTATGTATCTCAAACTAAAAATCTCCAAGTATCAGGTTTTTCAATTCTTTTGATGTGGCGTAAAAAGCAGCCTGTAAGGGTAAATAGAAATTTATAGAGCACAGAAGGGTATTGTATATATTCGCTGCAATTAATACGTATGCGTGAATTTGTGAATCATTAACTTAAGTTTGCTATGTTAACATTTATATGTGTGTGCGCATAAAGCAGCAGAGCAGTGATGAAAGTATGAGATGACTGAAAAGTAAAGGAACCAGAAAGGAACATAATTGTGGGATTACATAAGCAGAAATATAGAATGAAAGGGAAGAGGCAGAGAAGATAGATGTCAGGAGGGACATTCAACGTGTTGTGAAATTGATGGCATAATTCAGATGAGATAAAAAAAATTCTGTCAAGCACAGAAGAAAAGGAGAACAGAGAGAAAGAAAGGGTCAGAGAGAGAGAGATGTGTTAAATGAATCTGCTACTTACTGTGGCTTTAATAGGAATAGGTGTAGCAACCTCAAATGCTTTTATGCTTTGTCCTATGTCATAATTCAAGTAGGAGAGTAGGAGTTTGGGTATGAGTGAGTCTAAGAGCAACAGTGAGAGGGTTTGCATATTCCCAATGTACTGTGATGTGTGGCTTATATACCATGATGGCCTTTCTAAAACAAGAAAATCAGACTATGTGGCAGTACCCACCAAAACAGGCTAATGTTTGCTTCTCTCTGCTTTTGATTGATCTGTGAAAGTCAGTACTCTGAATTGATTAGGGCCATTTGAACAAGGAGAGTGTATATTCAAGTGCTGTACAATGATGATGTCATGAAGGTGGGAGAAGAGGATGGACATAGAGGTGTCCAACACAATGCCACCTGCTAAAGTGCAGTTTTAGTGAAAGTAGAAGGCATGGGTTAAAGGCACCTAATCGGCGCACGTCACTTTCCTTCCCGCTCTTTTCTTCTTCTTTTTTGTTAAAGCATAAGTATTTTTTTATTGGAGGCAATTCTATTTGAGACACTGTCGAGTATTAAATGTGAACACATCTCCCAATAGAAATTCGAATCTTGGTTCGCAATATTGCCAGGAACTATCCCTTTTATTAGACCCAATCCATGTTGATTCTTTCCCCTTTTTTTTTAACAAACAAGTTTTATTATTTCTAAAGGTCCCTGGGGGCCCAACCAATTTGGAATGGGCCGAATCGAAGTCTTGTTGATTCAATGCGGCTTGCCTTCTCGTTGAAATTTCATGTTGTATATTTCTCTTTCTTCGGAACGGAATGGACGACTTGATTGGATGGTGTCAATTGTGGGAAATAAATGTAAAAACAATCAACTAGCTCTAAAATATATTTGTGGACTTGTTCATGATATTCCCGATTTTGAATTTTTCGCGTCTCTTCAAAAATTCGTTTTCACTGGAACAGCGAATGGATTTAATTAATTTATATACAAGATTGATTCAAGAGCCGGTTGGTGTAATATTTTGACCGTTTGACCATCTGTTTTAGACTTTCTTTGTTCTCTTTGTCCCCACATTAATTCATATTAAAAAAATATAGCCGTTGCTATAACGACGACTTCAAACATTAAGAACCTATAAGGTTGAAACTTGCGTTTACTCGTCAAGGAATGCGTATGGAAAAAGTGAGTTCGCTATTTATCTGTAGAATTTGGTTTGAAAATTACCGGAGAATGTTGTTTTCTTTGATATTAACAACCAGAGAAAACTATTAATTAAGTGATTACAAATTGTTGCATGCATGCATATATATATATATATATATATATATAAAGAATCTTCAAAAACGTCAATTCTGTGTTGGGATTTGAAAAATAATAATGGAATAACGCGGAAGCAGCTGCAAGTTACATTCGTCTTGGTTTGTTTTCTTACTATACTTAAATGGAAGGATGTGAACTTATGGTAATGTTTCTAAATAATTGGCTCACCAACATGTCAGGCCCGTCGCTTTTACTTGACAAGAAGCTAAGGGATTTCTCTCTTTCTCTGTCTCTCTACTGGTAATGGGGAATTAAAAGAAAAAGAAAAAGAAGGAAGGAAGGAGATATACTCATGAGTATCTCATTTTCAAGGTATTCTCCCAGGAGTTGAATGACAAGATACTAGAAGAGAAGAGAGGACAATGTAAGTGACCCAGACAACTAAAGGCCAAAAGCAAATCCGCTGAAAGAATGAGACCACACATATATATAAACTAAGAGGCAACAAGAAGTAGGGTATATATTGTATAATTTAGAACAAACTACACAGAGAACTCCAAGGGCTATATGCCCTTGTTTGTTATTAACAAGAGCAGGTTGTTACCTAATCAATTTCAATATTTCATATACAAGAGCCAAAAGGGTGTAGGCCAGGCATCAATTAAAGTGGAACTAGTAGTGGTACTTTTGTTGGATGATGACTCTGGTTGCCAGTGACGGATGACATAAAGATGTAGGGATGTGTTGCCACTATCTAATTGCGAGAACAAAATAAGGACAAGTACAAACTACAAATGGCATGTTCGTGTTCACTCGCTTCACATGTTCCTGCACGAAGGTTCCTCCATGTTTCCTGTGCAAGATACTATTACCATGCGTGAACTTGTTAACTAATTCCCTTATAGCTAGCTTACAATTTCTGTAGTTTCCGATATAAAAACTAATACGTTAAGGGTCGCCTCGGTGAGTCTGATTGTGAATGAGATATGCATGCGTCATGCCTAGACAAAATCTACGTGGCCACCTTTTTTGACTGTGTGTTTGATTGGTTAATTAGTATATATATATATGTGTGCAGTATATATTCAGGCATGACCCTCAAGAGGCAAAGAATTTAATTGGAACTCCTGATTGTGCAGTAAATTTTGATTATCTCGCATATATAAATATGAAGATTGCCATTTGCCTAATTGGAAGCTAATTGGATTTCCTGAGGGGTCTTTGCTTAATTTTAATCCTTTTGGAGCTGGTCAGGGCTGTAACTTTTTAATGAAACCAATTTCGATGCTCATCCATTTGATGAGCACTGTAAGCTCATCAGATTTGAATCGTTCATATCTTATTTGAACGGTTCAGATTTAAAATCTTTAATTAATTATTTTTAAATAGAGTAAATTATTTTTTGAAAGAATGATAGTTAAGAGATCATCACTATTTTAGATTCTATATATTAAAATAATTATTTTGAATAAATAAAAATGAAAATGAAATCAAATCTGAACCACCCAAATGAGATATATATGGACAGTTCAGATCTGATTAGCTTATAGTGCTCATCAAATGGACGAGCACCGAAACTGGTTCCCTTTTTAATGGCTGCATAATTGGCCAGATCAAGAATTAGGGAGCGTCTTGGTTATTATTATTATTATTGTAATTTATTACCGTATGGCTTCACCGTAAATTATGGAACAATCGTACCAAAGAATTCCCAAATCTGGTGGTTTATGTTTCCAACCAAACCATTAAATGTCATCTGAAATTCAAAACGAACTGAGAAGAGGACTCCTATGTATCTAAAATAATATTAGTCAAAGAATGATGTTAGCTGGCACATATCCTGATTAAATAGTTAAATGGAAATGCATTGTATAGTCTATCTCTGATCTAGTGGGC